AGGTTCTGAGTCCTAAAAACTGACCATAACTAATGATATTAGGTTTAAATTGACTTGAACAAAATAAAAAGCAATAGTAAAATACACATATATGATATATGTTAATGTTTATTCGATCAAATCAGACTAGACTGAAACAAACCACACTAGATCAAATCAATTCAGAACATTTCAATCTAATAAAAAATATCCTTATTATCAATTTTTATACTTTTAAAAAAGACACACACATTATATATCAAATTAATAAACCAACCGTACTTGTTAAATTAGTTAAGTGAAAATAACGAATTAATAAAACATTGGATTGAAAAATTCCATATGTGGTTTCACTTAAAAAATTTGGTGTGATAAGTTTAAGGAAAATTTTCTTAAATAGGAGTAGACTTGTATTAAAATGAAAAAATAGGAGTGATATCTTTTAATTTTCTGAAATAAGAGTCTTTACTAGCATGCTTCAAAAATACAATCATTATTGATAATAAATACTTCATGTTAGTGCCTAGTAGTATTACAATTATTTTTACAGTAATATCCAACATGACAATAAATACTATCATGCTACTCTTATTGTAGAAAGAAAAACATAACAGATTTATTTTGAAACTCTCAATATTTTTACTTCTGTTTCAGGAAAATTCCTAAAGTATATACATTAGAGTTATGCATTCATATTTCAAACAAAAGCAAGTGGAAGAACAATAAATGTGTTACATTATAATGTTCAAAGCGAGGTTTCATCTCTCCCTCACAATAATATCAACATTGGTCCCTCCCTTAACTTTCGGCCCATGCATGCATGCATGGACGTACTAGCTTCATAATTCTTATTGTTATCATCAATTATTTTTATTTATCCAATTAATTAACCGGTCGGCCGGCCTCCGATGGCTATATTTCCTACTTCATCGTAAATCGAAAAACAAAAAGGACAGGATGGCCGCCTCATGGAGATTTTCTTCATTTGTTATTGGCCTCCTGTCTCTGAGCTCCATCCTAATTAGCTACCACCCTTCTGCTGGCGGTGCCGCCAACATCCGTCTCGCCATCCGCAAGCGGCCCACCGCCAACATCTCACTCTTCCATGAGGCCCCGGCCTTTCGTAATGGAGCCACATGTGGTTCAATGGAGAGCAACGACAACCACCTCATCCACATCGTCATGACCCTAGATGCCAACTACATTCGAGGAACCATGGCCGCCGTGCTCTCCATCCTCCAGCATTCCTCCTGCCCCGAGAATGTCGCGTTCCACTTCCTGTGGCTGAGGCATGATCCTGAGGTATTCTCCAGCATCGCGTCCACGTTCCCATACCTCAACTTCAAGTTGTATCGTTTTGATGCGAGTACGGTCCGCGGATTGATCTCCAAGTCCATTCGCCAGGCGTTGGACCAGCCCTTGAACTATGCTCGGGCTTACCTAGCGCACATTCTTCCTCCACACGTCAAGCGTGTCATTTATCTCGACTCCGACCTTGTGGTCGTGGATGACATTATGAAGCTCTGGAAGGTGGACTTGGGCGGTAAAGTCCTGGCAGCGCCCGAGTACTGCCATGCGAACTTCACCTCCTATTTCACCGACGCGTTCTGGGCGGACCCGGAACTAACAAAGACGTTTTGGGGCCGTAACCCGTGTTACTTCAACACGGGCGTGATGGTGATGAATGTGGATAAGTGGAGGCAAGGAGGGTACACGAAGAAGGTAGAAGATTGGATGATGGTGCAGAAACAGAAGGTGAGGATCTACCATTTGGGATCTTTGCCCCCGTTCTTGCTAGTCTTGGCTGGGACCATAGCGCCGGTTGACCATAGGTGGAATCAGCACGGGTTGGGTGGGGATAATCTTGAAGGAAAATGCAGGAGCTTGCACCCTGGCCCCATTAGCCTGCTCCATTGGAGCGGAAAGGGCAAGCCATGGCTGAGGCTGGATTCAAGAAAACCTTGCATCGTTGATCAGTTATGGGCTCCTTATGATCTTTATCGCACTTCCAGGACCACTTTCGTCGAATGATCGATTATACAAAATATTTTTTTTCTGCATCTTGATTGGAGATCGACTTATATATATGATATATTAGGTCAGGGTCCAATGAAGAAACTAATTACGGTAAGATAGGTGTGTTGCGTTTTAGGAGAGAATTCAATCATCAATTTTTCTTGAGAAGAAATTAAATAAAATGTAAATACGTTTACCAAATGTTTGTTATATATAGCTAGAGAATTAACTCGCCATCTAACAGTTTTTGTTTAAAGTACATGCCAATTCATCTTCCAATTAAGTACCTGGCCGGTGTTGTGCGATGAAGTGTCATCTTTTATCATTATTATTAAAGAGCAAAGCTCAGATAACCATATGGCGTGGCAGCGTTATCGACTATCCGCCTCTTATTCCCCGATCCACTTCAAATTTTCAATATTTTCAATATACGGTCTATGATGCATTCCTGATGTGGAGTTACTCGACTGCGATTCGACTAGGTGAATGCTATTTTTCCAAAGGATACCTAATACACCGAAGTTCATTAAAAATCATAATCTCTTGATTTCATACTCAGAGGTGTTCAATTTTGTCATACCTCACTATACTTAATTCTTTTTACAACCATACATACATATTCAATTTAGTATGTATTATTACACCGAAAACAAAAAGTATAACCTATAGAGTCATACAAACGATGCGTTTGAATCGATCTTTTTATTTTTGGGAAAGGATTTTTTTTATTAGAGAAAGAAGTACAATGCAAGGAAAGTAGAATTATAAGATAAAAAAAGGAAGGAACAATACAAGAATAGAAAAAGATTCAAAAGGCAAAGAAGCTGCACTAGGGAACCCAATTAACACATTAGGGCAGCTTGGTCCTCACTTGGGTTTGATGCAAGTGGTCCTCCTATTTGAAATAGAAACATTTTTCTTTTGTTCAGCCAACCGATCCAATGATTCTTGTTTCAATGAAAATTTTCTTGAAGGAGTGTCGAAGTCATTGTTCAAGTTATCTAATTCCTTAGGGTATGAAGGGTCATCCCTCTTGATCATTTTTGAGGAAGAGTTATTCTGGGCTTGAATTTGAAGCGGCTCTAGATCCTCATCACCAAACCACAGTTATCTTCCTGTGCTCATAAGAGAGTCCTGTTTTTTTTATTGTACTACGTACTTTTTTAAGAAACAAGATAATGGCATGGATATTGCTTCCAGAGTTATTTTAGACAATAATATGACTAAATTCCATATGGACAAAAAAGTGACTGAAAATCTATCCATTGGCGTGTGACCCTAATCGTCCTCATGCACTTACCAGACCTTGCGCCATTCCCAGACCAAGCCTTATTCTGGGAAGACGCAGGCGCAACTTCCCATCTCCCTCCTTCACGTTCGTACCGCCCAGAAGACGCAGATCGCCACCGCCTCTACTGCATTGACCTTCTCCGCCAACACTATCGCTTTTCTCGCCGTCTTCGCCGCCCCTTTCCCTCGCGCCTGTAACAGAGTGGGTGTAGATCGTTGCCACCACCCTCGCCCTAAACTTCGCCGTCGTTTTCGTCCTTGTCCTTGCGAGGTCTCCTCACTGTTGGATATCTAGTTTTGTTGATGACTAACCATGCAAGAACAGAGAAAGCACTATTCTATCACTAACTATGCAGGTGGATATAATGATGGAACTATGGTGAGTTCTAATTATGAACTCTGGACATAACAGTTTCTGTCCTATGTAAGATATTTGTGCCCATATCCAGTTACGTGTCTGCATGTGCATACCTTGCCATAACTTACGTACTTCATGTTTCCATAATTGAGTTTCTTACTATCTTTGCACTAGTTGACCTAAATATTTAAATATGATATTCAAAAGGTCTTCTTACTAAATATGTTGTTGGTGGATTGCGTAACATATGATTGACTGGACATAGCATTAATAAAATGACCTTGCTGTATGGAAACTGTCCATAGGTGTTATATGCTTAAGAAAGAATGGCATTAATATTAGCGCTCATCTTTTTACTTCCCAAAATGTGACCATATATTTCGTATTTCCCAAAATGTAACCCGTCCTTCTCCATTGGTTCCTTCAATTTCCTAGATTCTTCTCCATCAGCTCCCTGGCTTCGATGACTTCTCATCAGATTCTCACCTCCTGATTTCTCCCTAAGGCTCCGATGACTCGTCTTCCTCTCACGCACATCTACAACAGCGTTCTCCTCTGTGCCGATATCTCCCGATGTGCTCCATCTCTGTCACCGACGCCGACTCCACGCTCATCTCCATTATCGCCGCCGTCGTAGTCTACTTCACCGTGGTTCCATCACCAACATTTTTATTCTCCTACTCTATCTTTTCGATGGCGAACAGGTTCAGATTCTCCCCATCCTTATTCAAATTTTGATTGAAGCAAATCTGAAAGAAGGTTATGAAATAAGGGGAAGAAAATCGTCCCCAACAGCAGTGAATCTGAGCAGCGTCGACCGGAGGTGGAACGATGGCTAGACCTTGGTTGATGGCTGGGATTTTTAGGTAGGGTGGGCGGTGAGGTATGGGCAGACCCTGAACAGATCTGGAGCTCCTGTTCTGTGGAGTTCGTTAGGTTAGGGTGGGGCGGGGGTAATGGCGGAAGGCAGGGAGTTGGGGTAGGTGGTGGAGATGGTGGGCGGTGTGGCCGTAGCTATGGCAATATTCACCGGAAAAATCGCTGGATAATATTTCGGGCGAGCAAAGTGACATGTTTACCCGATAGTGACATTAGTATATGGCAGTGACGCCTCTTAAGTGACACGAAAATTGACAGTGACATCATGTTTTCCAAAAATATGACCTTCTTACTCACTTTTTTGTCCATATAAAAATGGTCATTTTTTTTAAAATTGATTAAAATTTAGTAATATTCAAGGTAAAACCCCTATGCTTAAATAAATAATTTCTTATCATCCGTGATTAAATTTTCAAATGGTTATTTTAATTGGGATGATTGTCTCCTTAGTATGGTCTGGTGCACTCTTTCTTAAATTGGACAATAAATTATTTTCTTACCATACTACTTTGACCCGTTGCATTTATGAGATATTCTCTATTGATGTGCTATTCTTCGTATATGAGATTACAATATCTTGAGTCTCTTAATTTGACTGCCATATATTTTATGAGAGATATTACACAAGGAAAGGAGGCGATGTTTCTGGACAACGATAATCGAACCACGCTCATCGCTTTTCTGTCCAGCAACTTCCAATCGCTCTCCTTCATGTCTTCCGGCTTATCATCCAGAGGTTGATACGGATCTTTACCGTACAGGTAATCTTCGATCTGCAACTTCCAGAATCCGTAATCTGTTCCGTCAAACTGCATCACCGGTGTCTTCAAATTGTTTGCCATCGTGAGATCTCCCTTCGAACCTAGGGCTCTGATGCCAATTGTTAGGAATTTAATTTACGCACACGAAAAACAATAACGAAGAACACACGAAATTTGGTAACCCAGTTCGCCACGAATGACTACGTCTGGGGGCGCTACCAAGCCAGAAATATTATTGCTATTTTCGGATCTACACCCAATGATTACAAGGGAGAGAGATTGTATTTATAGAGAAGTAAATCCTAACCCCAAGGCAACTAGGACGTGTTTCCTAAAATTAATTAAGAAACGTGTTTCCAAAAATAAATTAAGAAACTGTCTCTAACACCTTACAAGGCACAATAAAAAGATGAAGCATAAATTACTTATATTTTGAGAATAAAAAGAATATAGTGTTATTGTTGCATTTAGGAATCATTTTACTCATACCTGGAGCAAATATTCGAATATAAATAATTAAATACAATGTGAGAAAATCCGGCATTATACCAAATGCACAAGATTAATACAAAAAATAGGGATAACGAATAAATTAAATGAAATAATGAAGGTTATTAAGTTGTGAAATCTTCGTATGACCGTCTCTTCTATTCGAAATTTTATTTAGATTACAAGTATGTTTGACGCAATTAACTGAAAAGATACTTTTAGACTTTTTAGTACTGTTAGGTTTTTGTGACTGAAAACATTTAAAAGTAAAAGGTGGTAATTGTTTGGTAAAAAACTGACTGTTTGGTTTAGTTCTGTTTGGTATACAAACTGTTGAGACTAATTAATGTTAAACGTCACAGACTTTTCTATGATGTTACTCCATGTAGCATTTCAAAAAAGATCTTTTATTTCTTGTATAGCTCTTAAAAATTGTCATACCAAACATAGAATGAGAAGCTCTTAGAGACTTTTTAAACAGTACAAAAATTAGACGGAAGAGACTTATGCAAACCAAACATAGCCTATATGCATAAAGACATTATATAACTCACTAAAATGAATGGCATTTAATAATTGATTAATTAATAGGGACACTTACTAGAAGAGTCTCTATAACAAGTCATGAGAGGTACTACATATATGTATGCATTATAGACATCATAAACTCATATGTGCATGAATGGAATTATGAAATAGGTCTAGATTTAGGATATATAATGACCTTATTTGCATAAGTGGGAGTTTGGGGAAGAAAGAGCTTAGCAGCTCCAGAGAACTCCTTTCTTTTCCTCTTCTTCTCAGCTAGCTTAATTAATCTCACTCCGAATAGCATGAATGATCTCTCTTCTTCTTCCTCCTGCTCCTCCTCCTCCTCCTCATATGAGTTAGCGGTGGTGGGCCTCCTCCACCTCCTCCTAATATCACTGGTGGCATACGTGGACATCAAGTCAAGTAGATCTTGACATTTCCTCTTCATCGTCAACAACTCTGAGCTTAGGATTCCATTTTCACCCCGAAGCCTCTTGTTCTCCTCAATGAGGATGTCGTATTCTGAGGGAAATGACACCCTCATTGATGTGGTGGATGACAGTGACTTTTGCTCTTCATCGTACTTTGGCTGATGATCAACGAAGTTGTTGCTTTTTATATTTGCTGGCTGCTTATTGTTCGCCGCCAATGTGGGTTTTCTTCGAGGAATGTCGCACAATAAATCCTTCTCTCCTTTCTGGAACTTGCTGTTGCAAAACTCCCACCGGGCAGAGGCCACCTTGCGAAAACCCTAATAAAAAACTTATGGTTTTATGATTTTTTTTATCAAGTGATGATATATAGTGGATAAGTCAATACTACGAACTAGTATGATATTGCTACAATTTTGTTGAATGAATCATATTGCGCTGCCATGGTTTGATCCTAAAAATGCATGTTGAAGTCTCACCGGTAAAATATGAAATATAAGTAAGGACACGTTTACTTCACGAGTTACTAAACAGTGCTTATTAAGACCCTCATGAATAAGCGGCGCATAAAATAAGCAATGTTGTAAGCTCATGTTTACTTCAAAGCATTTAAAACACCGTTTAACAGTAAATTGTCCAAAATAACCCCATACATATATAGATACACAAACATTCATTAACACAAATATATAATATGTGGGGGTCACCTCGTACGCATTACCCATACCCCTAACCCCTACCTGCCCTATACCTTGTACCCCTACTCTACACCGGTGGTAAGGGCTATGGGTAAGGTAGGGTGTGGGGGGGTTGAGGTAGGGGCAAGTGGTAGGGGTAAAGGGGTAGGGTCGGGGTAGGTGAAGGGGTACATGTTGGGGATCGAGGTCAGGGCGGGGTCAAGGTAGGAAAAGGCGGTAAGGGGTGAAAGGGGTAGGGGTCAGGGTAGGGTAATGGGGTACATGTGGTGGGTGGGGGTCGAGGTAGGGGAAGGTGGTAGGGAGTAAATGGGTAGGGATCGGGTAGGGTAAGGGGCGTGGTGGTGGTTGGGGGTGGGGTAGGTCAGGGTTCGGGTGAGAGCGAGGTACGGGTAGGTGGTATGGGGTAAAAGGGGTAGGGGTAAAGAGTACGGGGTCGGGTGGAGGGGTAAAGTGGTAAGGGCTGGGGGTAGGGGTGGGGTGGTGTCGAGGTAGGGGAAGGTGGTAGGGGCACGTGGGGGTAAGGGTATTGGTCGGGGGAGGGTAGGGTGGGTCGGGGTCAGGCTGGGGGTCGAAGTAGGGGAAGGTGGTAGGGGTTAAAGGGGTAGGGTAAGGGGCGTGGTGGGTGGGGTAGGGGGGTATGGTCGGGGGTGGGATGGGTGGGGTCGAGGGAGGGGAAGGTGGATGGGGGTAAATGCGTAGGGGTCGGGGTAGGGTAAGGGGTACACGTTTTGGGTTGGGGTGGGGTGGGTGTAGGAGGGTGGGGCCGGGTAAGGGTGAGGTCGATGTAGGGGTAAAGGGGTATGTACGAGTTGGGGTGGGGGTAGGTAGGGAATGGGCTAGGGGTGGGGTCGGGGTAAGGTGGGTATGGTAAGGGTAGCGAGTAGAGGGGTAACAATAGGGTAAGGGGAAGGGTTAAGGTAAGTTCGGAAACTTAAAAAGCTTAAAGTGTTGCTTAATTAATATATGTGAGATCATATGCTTAGTACGCAACACTTTAAACACCTTTTTCTATTAGTTAGCAGTTTTTTAAGCAGATTGCGTGTTTACTTCACCTGTCTTACTAACCTAACTGTAACTTTAGCAGCGAAGTGTTGACAAATGACAATCCAAATGTACTTAATTAGGGTTCCACTTTGTCAAATCATTAGTTTCTTTCTTGGCGTATGAAGACACTATTTTTCCTAACAATCGGGCATATATATTATTCTCAAATAAATCAATATTGTTTTCTTCTTGGCAAAATATGAGTTATTCATTGCTAAAATATGACATTTTATCAACTTTTATTCTTTCATTAAGAATAAATAAATCTTATTTTTACGATAAAACCACAATGATTTTAAAAAGAAGAAGATAAAACCGCAATAATGCTCCAATTTATTATGAACTTTACTGTGTAGACTTGTAGTACTACCTGTCTCTTAAAACTTTGCCAAAGTTGAACGTCACAGGGAATAATAAAGTAAAAACTGTGTGATTGAGGTTTGTGCAGAAAAGAGACAAATAACAGAAACCACAAAAAATTGATTAAAAGGGAAAGTGACAAAGTTTTTTGGGACGTCCCAAAAAGGAAAGATGACAAAGTTTTTTGAGACGGTGAGAGTATTCTGTAATATTTTACATCTTTTTCGGGCAATCAGTTATATGTAGGAGTTTAATATACTTCGAGAGTAATTAGGTATGCTCTCGATCAAGGAGATCGGTATGCACTTTATCAATACACAAGAACGGTATGCACTTTATCCCTTCAAGACACAAGAAGATAAGACATGTGATCGAAATGTATTTCAAATAATTTAGATCCTCATTGAGCACAACTTATCAATACCTAAAAAAAGTTAACATCCAAAAAGATTTTATAAATGTACCCTAAAGCTACCATTTTTCTTGTAATCATATGTATCCCAACCACTTACGATAAAATATAATTATAAGCAACTTTTTTCTATCTGATCTGTTAGATGACACTCTACACCTTAAAATGGTACCAGATTCATGCCTTGTGGTTTGATTCTTTTGTAAATTATTATTAGTTGTGAATGACAAATCCTTTTTTAAATGTTTAAACAAAGCATCAATTAATGTCAGGGGCGGATCCAGGAATTTGGGATGCCCTGGGCTGAATAACAATTATACTAGGCTTAAATACTAGCGGGGTGGGCTAAATGTGAAAAATGAAAAAATTTATATTAAAAAAATGGCAAATTTTTTAAGTTGCTTTGAGCTTCAGCCCACCATAGCGCGTATATAGATCCTCCCCTGATTAATGTTTAAATGATTAATCATTTGAATTGATAAATAGATTAATTTCTTACTGGGTTTAACCGCACACTAAGACTAAATGCAATGCACCTTAAAAATATGAGAAAAATAAGTAGAATGTGGTGAGGTGGAAATGAAGACCCGCCGGCCGGGTACATGAAAATGAAAAGTAGGTGCACAGACTAAATGAAAATGAAAATTGAGACATAAGTTGATACTCGGACTTCCATCCTGAAAAGTTAACCGATAAAAGTAGCTAGTAGTGTAGTACCTCTCAAAGTCTCATATAGTATTTAGGGAAAAGTACAGAAAACGTACTTGTGGTTTAAACCGTTTTCAAATAGGAGCAAGTGTTTCATTTTTTAACAAAGTGAGACATGTGTTGCAATTTCGTTATCACATGAGCTGGGGCATGACGTCTAACGAGTTCTCTTTAGATTTTTCGGCTCGTCAAGGAGATCAACAAACTATCGTTCTCTTTAGATTTTTTGGCTCTATTTGGATTATTTTTTAAAAACGAGTTCGCTAATATCACTTTTCTTGTGAACTTTTTGGTGACAGGGTTGCTAGAAACCAAAAAAGCAAGATGGTCTGGAGGTCTTCTTGACGAGGCGCACCTCCTAGTATTTTTTTTTAAATTTTTTGGAGACTTTTGAAAATCAGAATTAATTTTGCTAACGGTGTTAGATGGCATGCCCCAGTTGTTATCAGTGCCGGCTTTGGGGGAGTTGGCCCAGGCGGCTGCCTAGGGCCTCACATAAGCTAAGGAAGGGGCCTCAAAAATATTACTCTGTATAGGGAAAATGGAAACTAATAATCCAACCTTTTAGCGGTTTTCTTTCAATAATCCCACATTTTGATTATTCATGAATAATCCAACCTTTGCACCTCATCTTCATTCATTGGTCCCTGGTCGGTTAATGACCTACTATTCCAAGTTAATTTCTTATCTTAGTAGTATGTAGTGCTCCGTATGTATAATTCACTTATCCAGCGTCCATCAATGAACATGATTGGGGATGATTGTTGCAAATTCGTATTCTACAATTCTCAATTCCCAACTGCCAAGTCCTCAATCCTCATTCGATCGCAGACAGACTATCGACCTTCTCACCTTCATGTCCTTCGTCAATTGAACGACCTCCCGCCTGCCGCTGGCCTGAGCGAGTGAGCGAGCGACTCTAGTTATCGACTTGTCTCTTCTTCATATTACTCACTCTTTCTTTGACGCGTTTGATTCAATTAAAAGGCTCTTTAGATTTTAGTCAATACCATAGTTAAATGATTGAAATAGACTAAACGGTGGAAGCCTAAAGTAGCATGGGTGAGCTTGCGATTCTATGATGGAATACAAAATTCCGGTCAAGCATTTGACTTTTTAGATTTGACTATTTGAGGTAAATTCCTAAATGGCTTAATATGATTGAAGTGAAGGTGTTTGTGTAAAGTTAAAAATTCTTTTATTAATTAATGAATACAATTTTAAATTTATTGAGTTAATATAATACAGCTATTAATAATATTGGATATTTGTCATATAGGTATTGCCGTATTGTATGAATGAGTAGATAAATACATGAAATAATTGTATTGGTAAGTTTTAGCTTTTTATAATGTTGTTTTCTCCGATTTTGCACCCCAAAAGCCAAGAAGAATAGCTCAATAGAGTGTTTCAAAGTATAAGTTTGCAATGTTTTTACATATGTTGGCCTTCAGAAACTTAAAATTTTGACATTCACGTTATATGGTGCACTTTGAATATGCTTTTTTCATATTGTTTTTTGTTCATTTTTTTTATGTTTTTTTTAATTATGAAATGTGTTGTGTCAATGGTAATTTGTTTTGCTTGGAGCCTCCTAGATGCTAAGGTCGCCCCTGGTTGTTATAATGGAATTGAAACACGTGACACTTTATTAAAAAAAAAAAAAAAACACTGTACACTTTTTCGAGTTTTTCCTAGTATTTAAGAGTACGTACATAGGTATTGAGCTGGCGGACAAAGCTGGAAAAGTTGCTGTGCTTAAAGACGGTTGGGAGCAAGTCCCTGGCGAACTCCGCCGGCTGCCACACCACAAAGGACGTCCCGTCGGCGTTCCAAGAAATGACGTCGTCGGTGGCCGGATCCTCCACCAGCATGTACGTCTTCAACAAGAATGGTGACGGCGACCATTTCTTCACGTATTCTAACAAACCCTTCCCATTCCCATCACCACTACTGCATTCTGAAGCCGCCAGCCCAAGCAACATATTTCCTGCAGATCTTAGCTCTCTAGCTAGCTAGCTGATTAAATTACTAGCTAGCTAATATGTACGTACGTACTTTTGTTTAACAAATCTAAGGGTTATATATGTTGTGATTTCATTAATGAGAATGTATAAAATATACGGAGTATATTTATGTGCTCATGAGGTAATTAAATTGATCTAGAAGAAGAAAAAACAATGGGAGAAGAAGCTAGGTATGGCCTGGAAGGATTGAGAATCAGAGAATGGAAGGGCGGTTAAGAACGTACTCCCAACCCCAACGTACAACAGAAACCCAATACGACTCTGCAGTTCATGCATGACAAATGCAAGCGCTCCGGCCACGAGATTCTCTCTCTCAAACTATATAACCAATATTTACAAACGTCTCTCTCATGCTTTCCTCTCTTATATATATACGCACATGCATGCGTATAGGATTTTTCATTATTGGGGGCACTAGCCACTAGAGTTGGGGAAAAATAACGATCCCGTTGTCCCATTCCAAAATATCCTAAAATTGTATGGAGCAAGGTTTTAAACAGCTGTAGTGGCAGCGGTAGCGGTCATCGCGGTAGCGGCATGTAACTGACTGTAGCGGTTGCAGCGGCGTGAAATATTTTCAATTGCGCAAAACATAAATGTATTTTTTTCACATCATTCACACAACATTTAATTTTGAGTTTCACTCCATGCATCACCATTATGTATTTTTTTTCACATCATTCACACAACATTTACACATTTACACATCAAACAGTTCGTGATGTACTGCCGGAAATGTCAATAGCGGGCTATAGCGGGCGCCGGGCGGCGTAGCGGATTTTTCCCGTGATTTGGAAATCACACACGAATTGCGGGTCGTAGCGGTAGCGGCCCCTACCGCGACCGCTATATAGCGGCCGCTATAGCGGTAGTGGGCCGTTATTTCAAACCATGGTATGGAGTACTAATTTCATTTGTACAATTAAAACGTTGTCCCATCCTGTCTCATCCCATTGCCCCGTTTGTATGATTATCGAATCAGGACCGGGATAACCATAATCCGAACCGTTCCAAACCTGTGTCCACCCCTACTTGCTACCCAATATGATTAAATAGTAAAGTATAAGGAAATGTAAAATATGATTAAATAAAAATATATTTAATTTTTTATATATTGTAAACACCAATTTAGTTCAAATAATGCTATAATGTTATATAATCTGATAAAACACTTCCTATATTCCTAAGTTCCTAACTAGTCTTCGCAGTTTCCGCTTTCATCAAATCTAAATTTATCTTCCATAATATTCAAAAAAATCAATATTAAAAATGCTATTTGTATGGGTACTTTTATCTCTTACAACTCATTAGTATCATCTACTAACTTTTAATGATTTTTTTTTTCAAATATGACTATTGTTATTTATCCCTTATAAAATCATTCACTCTAATTAGAAGATAAATTCATAGTTTTTTTGTCTTTTACTCCTTTTATGAGGCATTATTTTTTAATCTCCGTGCACAATTAAAGTGAAAATTTGTTTAGGAAGAGAGGGAGCCTTATAACTTGATTTCTTGACGAATTCATTTTTTTAAAGTAAGTGTGGACTTCATTCGTAATGTATTAAGTACATCTACTTTTACATAGCTACAGACTTATTAGGCAGTTAAGAAAGCTTTTAGGATTATTCTATAAACAATTAAAGTATATATCACGTAGAGAACACAATTGTGATCTAATCTTTTCTTATTTTACTTTTAGTTATTTAGTTGCTTAAGAATAAAATGAATAAAAATGACGGGCACTAATTTGTAAAAGTTGTGCAATATATTTGTATAAAAAATTATTGAGGGCACTTCTTAATTTTTATTGGGGGCACAACCTTTAAATACAAAATATTAATTGCACTTTCTTAAAATATAGTGACAAGCCATTGGGGGCATGTGCCCCCAATACAATGAGCATACATCCGCCCTTGTGCGTATATTACATTCATTCTTAAATAAATGTAACAGTCTACGTTTCGAGTTTTGGTGATGATAAACAATTAGTGCTACATTTTATGAGTGGTTGCAAAAAATTTTTTATCTTGTGCTCTGTAAAAAGCTTGCTTGATCTAGACCCGGTCCTAGAACTTAACTAAATTGCTCATTCAAGATTGATTACTTCGGCTTACTTAAAAATATCTTTCCTTTTCCACTGAAATATGTTTTTCACTTACGGTATGTTTGGCACAACTAGCTGAAAATATACTTTTGTGAGCTTTTTAATAACTGTTAGCTTTTAGTGACTGAAAAAAACTTAAAAAGAAAATGCGGTAGCTGTTTGGTAAAAAGTGGACTGTACGTTTGATTTAATTCAGTTTGGTATACAAGCTGTTAGGATTAATTAGTACTAAAAGTCACGAGCTTTTCTCAGATACTACTCCATGTAGCATCTAAAAAAAGATATTTTAATTTTTGAAAAGCTCTTAAAAATTGTCATGTCAAATATACAACTAGAAGCTTTTAGAGACTTTTTAAACAATACAAAAGCTAGAAGACATAGTGGGATGGAGGTAGTACTTTTTATCTGGTAGACGTTGTGCTGTCGTTGTGCTGGTGGCCGGAGCGTGGCTTTTAGTTTGTCCTTTGTAGGCCGGTGTGAGTTCTGTGGTGAGGCCGAAGCATGGGTGTTGCCTTTTTTCAATTGATTTGTCTACTATTCAGAGGTTTTCTCAATTTTTGGAGGCCGATATAGTCCTCCAGTCCTCTACTCGTTCAGGCCGAGGTGTATGATGGGTGTGATGGAGTAAAGAAGTGTCCTAGGCTGAAGCGGAACCCTCAGATTTCTCATGAATCCAACCTCCTAACAATCCTTGACCAAGGTAACCCTGTGGGAAAACCCTTGGACGAAGGTCGCAGGCTAGAGGCTATCATCGATGGGCTCTGTACGAGGGGTCGCAGGCTTAGGATTTTGCCTTACCTTGGTCTCTGGACGAAGTGACGCCAAGAGTTTGGCCGTTGGAACCTGTGTTTGTAATTGCTACATTGTTTGACGTATTTCCAAGAATATTTATAGGATACACAAAACCATTTTCCATATTTAATTTTCGTTTTGATTTTCAGACAATCCCTTCAGTCGCTCGTAAATACTTCTACTGTTTGAGGGTCCCATTTAAATAATTTGACGATCTTTCTTCTCAATAATACTGAAGTCCTTCCATTTTTTGTAAAAGACATATACTTGTTCGCAATATGTAACCAATATTTACCTAGCCTTTATTTTCACTCTTACCTTCTTCAAAATTACTGTGGGTCCCATCAAAATTGCACTTTTACAATCTTTTTGAAGATTTAAATAACAAAAATTACAAAGTACAGTAACCAAGCTAATACAAGTGCATCATCAAAATCTAGAGGGACCTAATAAATTAATGTACAAGGAGAAAATAATTTGGATCTTATAACTCAAAAGGTGTTTCCTACAAGAAACAAGATCTTCAAAGGAAAGAGAGTTGATTAAAAATAGTTTTCCATTTTATAAGTAAAAACCCTTTTAATTTTGTTGATTTGAATGCTCAAAAGTATGCATCAAATTATTACTAGTGAGGAAAATATTTTAATTAAATGAGCAATTATTTTCCAGTTCCAAGACAAGGTCTAAACCTTGTAGCCTATACGAGAACACGAGTTCTATAAATATTTTTCTGCATCCTTTTATAAAACATATGTAGCATTGTTTTTTCCATCAATATAACAATGTGTTCCAATAAGATCTCTAAGTGAAAAGTATCTCATCACTAAGCCAATTCATCATGATTGTATTGTACTAAGCATATCAATATTGATTATTACTTCGTCCATGAGAGTGCTACTCACGTCGCTCTTATTGTTTTATATGAAATTATGAACCCACTAGATTGTAAATAACTTATATTTTTACAAAAGTTGTTTGATATAAACAATATGTTTTATTTCATAAGCCCAATATGTAAATTGTAGCCTCGATATATTGAGATGTGTATTAGTGTGTACATGGGCCTGTAAAGGTGTATGTAAGCTCAAATCTTGTGATTGCTCTAATTGCGTAGTCTCACCTTTAAATATACAGAGTATATCTTCAAGGCACCTACCCAGAGTAGACATATTACTATATTCTCACAACAACATGACAACGTTCACTTTTATTTGTCACGGATAAATTTTGTGACAACATATTTGACAACTTTTGATCTAGGAAACTACATTTGTGATGAATTATTTTGTATCAAAACTTTGTCAAAGATATAATCCTAATAAAGTACACTATATCAATTTTCATTTACTTTTCCATGGCATATACATTCGTAACAAACTTGTGACCAATGATATGTGACAAACTCGTCACAAATGATATCAATGAGAAACCTTGAGTTTTTTGTAGTGATCATTGTAATTCTAACTTAATGTCCGCCCACCTTCAAATTGCTAAAAATTGGAATTTGGCAAGCTAGTATATAATTTATGGGCTCTGAATCAAATGATTGACTTCAAATTTTCATTTTGTAGCCCATTTCTTTTGTCTCATATAAGCATACGGTTGGATAGCAATTCAACTATTCATGTTGTACACACTTCTCTGTTAACACACTTGTACACACTGCCTATGAAGGCTTTTTGTTTGTCACAAACAACACGTGTTTTGTCTGTGACAAACAAAAAATCCTTCACAGGCAATATGTACAAATGTGTAAACAGTAAAAGTTTGTACCAAAGGCTTTTTGGTCTGATAGATCAATTGTACAAGACACAGTTTTACACTGTGGACGAGTTGTGTATAAAATTTATTATATCTATCTGGGACTAGATAATATTTTAGGTCAAAAAATTAAATTATTTCAGACTCAGGATATTCCCTTGAATTAAAATAGAAGGAATTGGAAGGTTGATCAAGCAAAGGGAGCAAGGGGCCCAAATCCCATTTAATAGACCTATTAAAGGCTGGAAAGCCTAAAAAGAAACATATGACCTACACAATTGCAGTGCAACATACACAGTAACCTAAAGATAGAGAACTTTGTGCGCAAACTTCATCTTCATCATTTTCAACATGTTTGAAGCCAGAAGAGAAGGGGGTATAGAGCTTTAGCATCGAGGAGGATTATCACAGCTAGAGCAGCTACTATTCACGCCATTTTGGAGGAGAGATGATGGCTTTGTGCCCTTTAACTTTCGGGTCGTGTATCGATTACCTCTAATGCATGAATGAATGATTTTAAAGCGTTAAAATTTTCGCTATGTACTTACTAATGAGTCTAAAATGTATTGGTATAATATGGTCGAAGTTCTGGTTGTTTGCTAAGGTATAGTAGGAGAGGTCTCGAGTTCGAAACCCGCTAGGCACATAAGGGTTTGAAA